ACCACAAAATACTGGCTTAAAACAAAAGACATCCAAAATCAAGGTGTCAGCAGGGCCATGCTCCCTCTGAAGGCTCCAGGGGTAGAGCCTTCCTTGTCTCTTCCCTCTTTGGGTGGTTCCAGGTGTTCCTTGGCTTGTGGCCGCATCACTCCAGTCTCTTCCTCACTTTTCACATGAGCATCTTGCAGCTGTGTCAGTATCTATGTCCAGATTTCCCTCTTATACAGATGTGAGTCACACTGGATTAGGGCCCACCTACTCCAGTATGACCTCATCTTAGCTAATTATATCTGCAACAACTCCATTCCTAAATAAAGTCACATGCTGAGGTGCCAGGAATTAGGAGTTCAACATAACTTTTGGGGGACACAGTTCAACCCATAACAATTATCTAGGGCAAGGGTGGAAGGAGAGAAGAGGCGGGCTTAGGACTTGGCCAACACACAGCAGTTGGGTAGAAGAGGGCGAGTCTACAAAGGAAATGGGCAAGCCACAAGCAGAGAGGTGGGACAGATATGGGGAGCAAGCGATGCCATGAAAACCAAGAATAAGTGTTTCAGGGCAGGAAGAAATGATCACCCGCATGAAAGAAATGCAGCTCCCAGTCACAGAGCTAAGAAGTTGATCAACGGATGTGACAGCATGGAGATCACTGCTGATCTCAGCGAGTGCAGCGCGTCAGTGATGCAGAGTGTCCAACTCCAGTTAGAGGAGGCTGAGCGAATGCTGTGAGGTGAAGAGGTGGGAACCACAGGGGGAGATGACTCTTCAGAGAGTGGGCCTTGAAGGGGAGCCGAGAACTAGGGCAACAGCTGCTGGGAGACGAGGGGATTAGGCAAGGTTTGTGTTTGGGGCTTTTGTTTTGTTTTTTGTGTTCTGTTTTGTTCTTGTGTTCTGCTTTGTTTTCTAACGTGGGAGCCGCTAGAGCATGTGGTGTGCTGTGTCGGCTCGATTTTTATGTCTGTGTGTTTCTGTGACACACATTTTGTATTCGACTTGAGTTGTCCTGTGTGCTTTGATGTGGCTTTCCCAGCATCGGAGGCCTTCGTGGACAGTACTGTCTCCCAGCCACCTAGCCAGATGTCTGGGTATTTGTTCTTTATGGTCACAGCAGGAACATTCTGCAGCATGTATCATGGTACCGTGAATGGCTGCCATTTCATTTTCTTGGTGGACTACAAGCAATTTTCACAGGCCCCGTTCATGTCATGTCAGTTGTCAAAGTCTGTCTGGTATTTCCTGCTAAAGAACATCACTAAAGTGCCTTTGTGTGGCCGTTTTAGTTGTTGCAGTCTGTCTTGTTCATCACTGGGGAATAGAAACTGGAAAATGAGGTTTCCATGGATTAGGAACAGCCTTCTGGGCCATGAGAACCATGTAACTAACCTGATAGGAAGGGCAGGCATGTAGTCGAGTTCAGAGAAGTCCCCCGGGGCCAGACTGGCCTCTTCCTAAGACTTGAGTGTCAAACATCCAAACCTACAGACTGGAGTGTCAAGCATCCCAACATCAGGCTGCAAGAGGGCAGGGGCCAGCCAAGGGGCCAGGTGACAAGAATCGGGGGACAGAGGTGAGAGTGTGCTTGATCCTTGAGCGAGCAGTCCAGGCCAAAACTCTCCTCCCATGAAGAGGCCTAGATCCATGTGAGAAGAGGCAGGAGGCCACCCCTGACTCTAGAACAGGGAGGGCAGAAAGAAACAGGTTCTGACACCATAATACTTTTTTTTGACAGTGTTCTTTTCAGATATTCCCTTCTTTTCTGGCCTGGTGTTGTGGCTCCTGCCTGTAATCCCAGCACTTTGGGAGGCTGAGACAGGTGGATCGAGATCAGGAGTTTGAGTCCAGCCTGGCCAACATGGTGAAACCCCATCTCTACTAAAAATAAAAAAATTAGCCAGGCCTGGTGGTGGGCGCCTGGAATCCCAGCTACCTGGAAGGCTGTGGCACAAGAATCGCTTGAACCCAGGAGGCACAGGTTGCAGTGAGCCAAGATCACACCATTGCACTCCAGCCTGGGCAACAGAGAGAGACTCTGTCTCAATTAAAACACACACACACAGATAATCCCTTCTTTTCTAAGGGATGTGATTTTTTAAATAAACTGAAATGATCTCTAAAGGCACTGCTAGAGGCAATCTGGCAGTAATCTCATCAGTTACACACAATGGTGAATGAACCTGGGGGCCCTGGTGTATGGCCAACACTGACACAGGTGGCCTAGGCAGGTGGCAGGCTCGTGGCCACATGGAAGATGAGGTTGCTGCAGGGACATGTCATGCCACCACAGGCATCCCCAGCTCATCAGTGCCTGTGGGGAAGAGTGGCCCCTGACGCTACATGCACGGTCCAATGTGGGGACCAAAGGAGACAAAGGCCAAAGAGGGGGTGAAGTGCCACGCAGAACACTGGCAGCTGAAGATGCCCAGCAGCGAGGGATGGGGACAATGGAAGGCTCATTAAATAGCACCAAGGCAACTCACTCCACCCCCCAGCGGTCACTCCTCCTGCTGCCCAGACCAGCAACTGTGGCTGGCACTCTAGAAGCACCTAGTAGCCGGTACCCAGTCTCCAGTTCTGAGGAAAGGAATAAACTCCTTTTTTTTTTGCGACAGGGTCTTGCTCTGTTACCAGGCTGAAGTGCAGTGGTGCAAATCATGGCTTATGGCACCTGCAAACTCCTAGGCTCAAGCGATCCTCCCACTTCAGTCTCCTGAGTAGCTGGGACCACAGGTGTGCACCTCCATGCCTGGCTAACTTTTTTTTTTTCTTTTTGCAACAGACTCTCACTCTGTTACCCAGGCTGGAGTGCAGTGGTGCCATCCCAGCTCACTGCAGCCTCTGCCTCCTGGGTTCAAGCGATTCTCATGCCTCAGCCTCCTGAATAGCTGGGATTACAGGCATGCGCCACCACACCCAGCTAAAGTTTGTATTTTTAGTAGAGATAGGGTTTCACCGTATTGGCCAGGCTGGTCTTGAACTCCTGACCTCAAATGATCCTCCCACCTTGGCCTCCCAAAGGGCTGGGATTACAGGCCCGAGCCACTGCACCTAGCCATTTTTTTTTTTTTTTAGAAACAGGGTCTCACTGTGTTGCCCAGGCTGGTCTGAAACTCCTGGACTCAAGTGATCCTCCCATCTCACCCTCCCAAAGTGCTAGGATTCCAGGCATGAGCCACCACCCCGGCCAAACTCCATTTTACATGTGAAAAATCAAAACTTTGTCATAAGACATTTTTGGGTTTTGTTTGTTTTGTTCTTTTCAATACTATTATATAAAGAAAAAAGATTATCAATGAGAATAAATTTGAAGGGGGAAGAGGAGATGCTTTTTCAGTAGAGAAAAATTCAGCTAGAAGATCCAAGACCAATGGGGGTGTTTCTGATTGCCCCCTTCCTCTCCACTCTCATGCTAGGTGGGTGAAAGGTAACCGAGAAAGGGCTCCCCAGCTCCCTTCACTCCCACTCCAGGCTGCAGAAAGGGTGGGAAAGTAGCCTCTGCTAGCGTCGCTTAGTCACGTGGAAAATTTATAGAGAAGACAAAAGTCAGGCTAATGCATTTCATTATCAGTAGAATGCCTTGAGCCACTTTTCTTTGTTTTTTTTTTTTTGTTTTTTGTTTTGTTTTGTTTTTAGACAAGGTCTATCTCTGTCGCCCAGGCTGGAGTACAGTGGTGCAATCTCAGCTCACTGCAAACTCTGCCTCCCGGGTCCAAGCAATCCTCCCACCACAGCCTCCCAGGTAGCTGGGACTATAGGCACACACCACCATACCCTGCTAATTTGGGTTTTTTTGTTTGTTTGTTTTTGATAGAGACAGGGTTTTACCATGTTGCCCAGGCTGCTCTTGAACTCCTGGGTTCAAGCAGTCCACCTACCTTGGCCTCCCAAAGTGCTGGGATTACAGGCATGAGCCACCGCGCCTGGCCTTGAGACATATGTTTAAAAAAACATAAGCTGTGTTTGTATCTCAAACTTTGAGCCTGGTTTTGTCCAGAACATACCCCTACTTAATCATGACCAATTCTTAGAAAAGAAGATGTAGCTGGGTGTTCTCTTTGGTGTTGATTACCAACTCCCTGTGAAATGTTCTCTTGGGGTTTAGGTGATTTCCTTGAAGGGACAGAACTCCTACATTCAGGAACAGGTTGTTCATGGAGTTTATGCTGGAATCCTGGTTGATACAAGACTCTGTATTGATGAGTGGAGTTCTATAATTGTAATATTAGGTAACTTTTAAGAAGATTAGCTTTTTAGAAGTTAATTAAAAAAAAAAAAAAAAACAATGTTTCCTTAAGAAAGTATGATGTAAATTCTTAAGAAAGGATAATTGGCATGAACAGATATTGGACTTAATCCCATTATTTTGGGAGGGGGGCAGCTTGTTTCACATATTCCTAAAAATAGAATACCTTGAGTTGGGTGTGGTTGTGCATTCCTGTAGACCCAGCTACTCAGAAGGCTGAGGCAGAAGGATTGTTTGAGTTCAGAAATTCAAGACTATAGGAGCTATGATCGTGCCTGTGAATAGCCACTGCACTCCAGCCTAGGCAACATAGTGAGCTCCCATCTCTAGATAGACAGAAGAAAATAGAAGACCTGCATTTCAGAATTGTTTTGTAAAAACCAGGCATTCTCTGAAGATTAGTTTCCCAGACTTTCAGCTACAAAAGATAACTTAAGAGTATCTCTAAAATGGTTGTTAGCTCATCTGATTGGCATGTGAAAGTACTGAAGTCAGTAGGTGTGGTTCCCTGTAGGTGTGTTCTAAAGACAGACTTATCCTTCATCTCAGCCAGCCTTCTAAGTGGGTCCTCCACTAATGGAGGGGACCAAGCCAAAGAATGGAAGGATCACTGTAGCATAGCGCCTCTCCTGAGAGCCACGGGCCCTTCAGAGGAGGAGTCAGTAACGGCACCCCAGGTTTGAAAGATAGTATTCATATAGAAACAGCTGCCTGCATTTCCAACTTGCTAATGGTTTCTTCCATTCTTCGTTTTCAGGGCCCCTGAGATCATCCTTGGTTTACCATTTTGTGAGGCAATTGACATGTGGTCCCTGGGCTGTGTGATTGCAGAACTGTTCCTGGGCTGGCCGTTATATCCAGGGGCTTCAGAGTATGATCAGGTGGGTCCAGATGACACAGATATTCACAAGACCTCATTCTTCATCTGGAAAATAGCCTGGATTAGCACTGCATTGATTACATGACAAAGCGGCGGGACTGTGGAATGTCACGTTGTCTCCCAAACCTTGCTTCCCTTAACCTTGGTATTTTTTCTTTATTCCTTTCTCTTTTCCCTTTTTCTTTTTTCTCTTTTTTGTTAACTTCTTTCCCTACAAAAATTGTCATTTTCATTTTTCTCAAAGCCAGCAGAGCCATTAGTGTACCATATGTATAGTGACAGGAAAAGCCCTGACCTCATTCTTATCTTTTCTTGCAGATTCGGTATATTTCACAAACACAGGGTTTGCCTGCTGAATATTTATTAAGCGCAGGGACAAAGACAACTAGGTTTTTCAACCGTGACACGGACTCACCATATCCTTTGTGGAGACTGAAGGTAGGAAGAGCATCCCCTACACTCCTCACGGTGGCCCAGCGCTTAGGGAAGAGGGCCATAGACTCATTAGTGGGGAGCTTTTGATTCAGTCAGCAAAATGAGGGCATTGGGGTGCTGTTGTTAATACACGGTGTGACTGAATCTGAATGCTCAGAAGCCCCTCTTTCTCTTGGCCTATCACCGCCTGTGAGAGTCCCACATTATGATTGCTGAACTCCCAGGATTTAATCCGATAAGCCTTGATGACTGTCTGATTTGTGCTAGGGAGAGAAACAAACCCCACTCTGCCCTTGAGAGCTGGCAGTTCCAGCAGGAGACGGGACCATGTGCCACAAGCTCCCGCCCCTCTGTAATAAGGGCCCTGTTCCTGGTCAAGAATGGGTGTGGGTGCCAAGGGGAAGGAGCATTTAGTTCTGCCTGCAGCAGAGGGGAAAGGAGGAGTGTTTGAACTGGGCACTGAAGAATGAAGAGGGAGTGCAGTGGCTCACGCCTGTAATCCCAGCACTTTGGGAGGCTGGGGCCGGCAGATCACTTGAGGTCATGAATTCGAGACCAGCCTGGCCAACATGGTGAAACCCCGTCTCTACTAAAAGTATAAAAATTAGCTGGGCATGGTGGCATGCGCCTGTAATCCCAGCTACTCAGGAGGCTGAGGCATGTGAATCGCTTGTACCTGGGAGACGGAGGTTGCAGTGAGCTGAGATTGTGCCACTGCACTCCGGCCCGGGCGACAGAGTGAGACTGTGTCTCAAAAAAAGAAAAGGAACAATGAAGCGGGTTTGCCCAGTAGAGAAGTGCAGGGTGGCGGCTGGGGTGGTGGGGGTTAGGGAGAGGGATTCCAGGCAAAGGAGGCTGCCTGATGAACCCATTGGAATGTCCTGAGGCCCAGGGAGGCGTCTGGTTCACTCTAGTAACCATAAACCTGAAACTCCAGGGCAGGGGCTTCACTTTAACAGAAACATAGTTTGCTTTTGCTTTGATCTGTGCCTAGCAATTAAAATCAAAGTATGTTCCTGATAAAAATAAAATGATAAAGTCTTAAATATGTTTCATTTTAGGTATTTCTTTTTGTGCAGCAGGGTGGGTAGATGTTTGTTTTGTTGTGGTTTTGGGTTTGTTGTTTTTTTTTTTTTTTAATGGAAACTGCAGCCAAATTCTAATGTGGTTTAAAGATAATATATATCCACTAGTGACAAAAGACTGAGAAAAGAGATTTGGGAACTGAGCAAGCACTCAGGCTAATGATGGGAGGCCTGGCATTTAGCAACTGTGAGGGTGAGTGTCCAGTAAAAAGAGTCCTCCAGTGGAGGAGGGTGAGGCTGGAGTTCGCTGCTGGGTTTTATTGAAGAACCTCAGTCCCACATGTCCAGCTGTTCTCCCAGGACTTAAGCCGCTCCAGGTGTGCTGTCCTTGAGTAAGATTTTAAGGATTAATTACCTCTGGATTACCTCATGGAAGAGTCCAAAAACCCATAGTAACTGGAAACAGCAGTTTCCCCAGCCATTTGGGGAATGTACGTCTATGTCTCAGCCACCAATAGAGGGGCAGCCCAACCACAGACTCTGGGACCAGCTGCCATCTATTGGCCATGTGACCACGGCAAGTGCCTTGAGTTCTCTCTTCCTGTTTCCCCATCTGGAAAATGGGGATAGTAATTGTGCTACCTAATGTGGTTGTCAAAACTATTAAATGAATAAATGTGCTTTAGAACAATGTCTGGCACGTAGCAAGAGCTATGTGCATAAGGGTTTATTAAATAAAATTGGAAAATGCATGGAAAAGTCCTTTGCTTTTCCACAATGGAATCTTGTCTTATTCCTTAGACTCAGAGAAGGCTGTAAGCTGATCAAGGATATAGCATACCTTGATCAGCTTGTGGTATGGAGCAAGACTGCTCCGTACCTGACTGACAGCCGGCCCCTGACACATGTGCATGGGAAGGAGGAGGGATGGGTTGGTGTGGATGAAGAGAGAAAGGAATTGCAGTGCAGGCCACTGAAGAATCAAAATCTCTTCTGAAAGGTGGGAAAGAGACCCTCTGTGAGACACAGGAATTCCAGGCTTGAGTCCCAGTGGTGAGGAGCTAAGTCACATTACCAATTGGCTTTTGCCTGTCTTGGCAGACACCAGATGACCATGAAGCAGAGACAGGGATTAAGTCAAAAGAAGCAAGAAAATACATTTTCAACTGCTTAGATGATATGGCCCAGGTAAGCTTCATGGGTGAGTATGAAATGTAAGCCCTTTAAAACCAAGGGCAGCAAGACTTCGGCAACAGTAATATAAGATAATGGGTTGAAATCCACATTATTCAACTGCAGTGGTTGACCTTGACCTTAAACAGTTACAGCCAACCTCAGTAAGAATACTATTTGGTGTGTAAAACATTTTTAAAACGTCATACCAGCTCCATAAAAATCATTCCAGTTGGCCGGGCATGGTGGCTCATGCCTGTAATCCCAGCACTTTGGGAGGCTGAAGTGGGTGGATGACCTTAGGTCAGGAGTTCAAGACCAGCCTGGCCAACATGGCGAAACCCCGTCTCTACTAAAAATACAAAAATCAGCTGGGCATGGTGGTGAGTGCCTGCAATCTCAGCTACTTGGGAGTATGAGGCAGAAGAATCACTTGAACCCAGGAGACAGTGAGCTGAGATCACGCCACTGCACTCCAGCCTGGGCAACAAGATCAAAACTCTGTCTCAAAAAAAAAAAAAAAAAAATTCATTCCAGTTTATTGGTTCCCACTTGTAATACAGTACTGGCCAATCTTCCTGATGTTATCGTGAGAAGAATTCCAGCCCATTAGTACCCATGGATTTAATGCTCATGATTGAGTGTATATGTTTCCTGGGGCAGCTGGTAGAAGGTACCATGAACTGGATGGCTTAAGACAACAGATTTTCACTCCCCCACAGTTCTGGAGGCCAGAAATTGGAAGTTGGGCTTCAGCAGGCCTCTGTTCACTGTAAAGGCCATTGGGGAAGAGCATCCATGTCTGTCTCCCAGCTTCTGGCAGCTCTGGCTATCCTCAGCATTCTTTGACTTGTAGCTGCATCCCTCTAAGAATCTCTGCTTCCTTCTTCACATGGCTTTTATCCTGTGTCTTCTCTGTGCTTCTGTGTCCACATCTCCCTTGCCTTGTCACTGGGCCCACCATAATCGAGTATGACCTCATCTTAATTTGATTACCTCTGCAAAGACCCTATTTCCAAATAAGGTCACATTCACACCTACTGGGGACTGGGACTTTAATATACTTTTAGGGGGATACAATTCAATCTGCTACACAGTCTCAGCTCACTGGCAGGGACCACAGGCTCTCACCTTTGTGCCCCAGAGAAAATTCTAGAACTTCAGCTATTTTTAGTGTGAAAACTAGTCTGAAACCAGGACAATCCAAAGTGAATTTTCTCTTTAAAGCAATGAGAAACAAAGCCATACATCATTCTCAGCCAACTATCGCAAGAACAGAAAACCAAACACCGCATGTTCTCCACTCATAGGTGGGAACTGAACAATGAGATCACTTGGACACAGGAAGGGGAACATCACACACCGGATCCTATTGTGGGGAGCGGGGAGGGTGGAGCGATAGCATTAGGAGATATACCTAATGTAAATGACGAGTTAATGGGTGCAGCACACCAATATGGCACGTGTATACATATGTAACAAACCTGCACATTGTGCACATGTACCCTGGAACTTAAAGTATAATAATAAAAAAAAAAAAAGCCATACACCAGTAAACACTTAGCACCCCTCTTACTGTAGATGAGTATAACCAAAAATCATGATTCTGAGTAAAGTGTGCCTGTCAGTTGATTAGTAACTTTGATTTTCTGAGAAAACTGAAATTGGTTTCCAGACCATGTTCTGGAAAATATACAAATCACCACAAAACAAGCCTTTTAAAAGCGATTGTAGTATGGACTCACCCTTGGAAGAAAAATCCTGTATTCAAATATCCTGCCTGTCTTGGCCAGAGGTGACTCCATTGAACACAGGGACTAAAATAATTCTGGCCCTAACTGGGGGAGCCATGAGAAGGATGATATGCTGTAGGTGGAGGAGGGGCACACTCAGGCCCTTCCACTTCCCTCTAAAGGTTAAATACATACATACATAGACTTTTTTGCATCTTATTTCTACTGCTTGGCTGTGAGTCTTTTTTAAAAATTGTGGCAAACACACAGCATAAAATTTATCATCTTAGCCTTTGTTAAGGGTAGTGTTCGATACTATTAACACTCCTATTGTTATGCAGCCAGTCTGCAGGACTCTTTTCATCTTGTGGTTATTTTTAATGAGGAGTGATGAAAGCTGCATTTCAACTTAACTGATGAAAGCAGGAGCAGTTTACATCCTGTCATTCAGCTATATTTGCAGGTCCCAGCAGCGGCCCTCTCCCCTTCCTGGGGCACAGCCCCTTTCTGCCTTTCCTGCAGAGAGAAAAGCCACATCCTGTGGGCAATGACAACATGTGGGTGGTGCCTCCCATGGGGCAGAGTTCCTGGGAACTGAGAAAGGGGGCTTGAGAGATCAGGAGAAAGTTGCAGGGCAAAAAATAAGGGGAGCCAGGAGAGGGGAGGCATGCTGGGGTCATCCTTGGTAACCTGTCCTTACTTGCGTCCAGGTGAACATGACAACAGATTTGGAAGGGAGCGACATGTTGGTGGAAAAGGCTGACCGGCGAGAGTTCATTGACCTGTTGAAGAAGATGCTGACTATTGACGCTGACAAGAGAATCACTCCAATCGAAACCCTGAACCATCCCTTTGTCACCATGACACACTTACTGGATTTTCCCCACAGCACACAGTAGGTGTCCTGTTTGATGATTCGTACCAGGGATCAGCAAACTTTAAAGGCCCAGACACTACATATTTTAGGTTTTGCGGCCATAAGGTCTCGGTAACAGCTACTCTGCTGTCACTGTAGCTGAAAGCAGCCACAGATGCAATACATAAACAGATGAGTGAGGCCGCATTCTAATAAAACATTGATGAAAGTGGGCAGGGCCGGGCATGGTGGCTCACGCCTGTAATCCTAGCACTTTGGGAGGCCAAGGCAGGTGGATCACCTGAGGTCAGGAGTTTGAGACCAGCCTGGCCAACATGGTGAAACCCTGTCTCTACTAAAGATACAAAAATTAGTTGGGTATGGTGGGGCGCACCTGTAATCCCAGCTATTTGGGAGGCTGAGGCAAGAGAATCACTTCAACCCAGGAGGCGGAGGTTGCAGTGAGCCGAGATTGCACCATTGCACATCAGCCTGGGTGACAGAGCAAGACTTCGTCTCAAAAAAAAAAAGAGGCCGGGCACAGTGGCTCATGCCTGTAATCCCAGCACTTTGGGAGGCTGAGGCAGGCAGACCATGAGGTCAGGAGATTAAGACCATCCTGGCTAACATGGTGAAACCCCGTCTCTACTAAAAATACAAAAAGTTAGCTGGGCATGGTGGTGGGCACCTGTAGTCCCAGCTACTCTGGAGGCTGACGCAGGAGAATGGTGTGAACCCGGGAGGCGGAGCTTGCAGTGAGCCAAGATCGCACCACTGCACTCCAGCCTGGGTGACAGAGCGAGACTCCCTCTCAAAAAAGAAAGAAAGAAAGTGGGCAGTGGCTGGATTGGGTTCCTGGCCTGCAGTTGGCTTCACACTGAAAAGGAAGGAAGAGGAGAGCACAGAGCTGGATGAACCTGACTCTGGGTATCTGTGCAGGAAGAGAGGTGCCCGAAATGGTAGTCTCTGTAAAGCAAAACCAGTCTCAGGGCCAAAGGTTGCTCCCAGAACCATCCCAGAGTGGACCCATTCTAGTTTGGGTTTGGATTTGTTCATTCGTTTCTTCAGTGTGCTGTGTGCTAGGGTACAGTGGTGAGCAGAGCAGACGGCCCTGCCCACTGGAGCTTGCAATCCACAGGAGACAATGGTATAAAACAAGTGATGCCCAAATCAGCAGTCTGCTCCCAGGACAAGTATCAGGTGTGATGAGAGCATACCACAGGGGAGCATCATTTTGGGGCAGACCAGGAAGACTCCCAGGAAGTGGCCTGTGAAGGATAAGGAAGAGGATGGGCATGAGCAGGCAGGGCATTGCCTGGGTGGACAGGACACTCCCCCATGGGCAGGACCATGCACCCATCCCAGAAGGCAGTAGGTGAGACAGTGAGGCACCCAGTCAGCCAGGGCAGGCCGTACATGTTAAGGTTTTTAATCTTGATCCAAAAAGCAATGGGAACTCATTAAATGATTCTTAAGCAGGGGAATAGCTGGTTAGATCTGTGCTGAGCAGAGATCTGTCTGCTGCCACACAAGTGAAATGAGTCTAGAAAAAACATGTCCATTGGGTTTAACAATTCGCAAGTTGTCAGTAACGCAGTGGCAGCCATTCAGTGGAGTGGTAAAAGCAGAAACCAGTTTAGCAGGTTGAAAGACCAAATGAGAGGGGAAGAAATAGCAACCTTTCATGAAGTGAGGCTATGCAAAAGAAGAAATAGAGGGGTGACTGGGGAGGGGTCAGGGGGATTGTTTTTTAGACAGGGTTCAGAGCACAGGGATGGGCCAGTGTCACTGGAAGGATGGATGGAAGAGGGGTGTGTGGATGCAGCGGATGTGCTGGTCTGGTGGAGAAAAGTTGAGGGAGTCCTGTCAGACAGCTTCTGCTTCTCAGAAGTAGGCAATGAGGTTATCTGTTGAGAACAAGGTGGAGAGTGGTTTAAGAAGGGTAGAAAATTTAAGTAGCTGGAGCACAAGGTGGCAGAGCAAACTGACCAGAGAAATACAGTGGAATTGTTGAGCCCTGAGGTTGGACATAAATCGTTTATAGTGTAACTGATCTCCCCAGTTGAAGGCATAGAGAAGACAGATCAGTCTCCTGATCTGGGTTTGTCCAGGTGGAATTTTTGCCATGCTGATAAGAGAAGACGACAGATTGACAAGGAAGCTGATGAGGCTAGCCAGACGGTAACTGTAATTCAGAATGATGGCTATTGGAGGCTTTGCTCAAAGGGAAAGGAAGTGAAGATGGGAGGGGATCCAAGTAAACGCGGTGTTCTAGTCAATGCAGAGAAGGGTTATCATAGTCATAGTGGAATGAGCCGGACGGAGGAAGAATGTGGCTGGGAAACAGGATGCTTGAACTTAGTTTCTGGAGGTGGAGCAATTTCAGGTTTGACGGTCCAGGGAATGAGTTGCTGTACTGGGTTGAGGACAAGAGTCACTGGATATGAGAAATAAGCAGGAAGCTAGCGTGTTTGACAAGGAACCTGTGACTTCTGAAGCCTTCCTGGCGAGGCAGGGAATGGCTTGGAGTGGAAGATCCAGCCAGTGGCAAAGGCCTCAGTGAACGAAGGGGAGAGGAAAGGAAGTCATGGCCGGGCGCAGTGGCTCACGCCTGTAATCCCAGCACTTTGGCAAGCCAAGGGGGGCGGATCACCTGAGGTCAGGAACTTGAGACCAGCCTGGACAACACGGTAAAACCCCGTCTCTACTAAAAATACAAAAATTAGCTAGGCGTGGTGGGGAGCACCTGTAATTACAACTACTTCGGAGGCTAAAGCACAAGAATCGCTTGAACCCAGAAGGCGGAGGTTGCAGTGAGCTGAGATAGCACCACTGCACTCCAGCCTGGGAGACAGAGCGAGATTCCGTCAGAAAAAAAAAAAAAAAAAGGAAGCCATTGGTGGATGGGAAGCTAATGGAGGGTCTCACTTCAGCCTCTCAACCCTGAGGTACTTGGGATGTGAAAGAATAAATAAATACATCCTACATCTGCAAGGAAAAGGGGTGTGCTCAAGAGAACAACAGATTCTGTAAGGATCAGCAGGGCAAGGGAATCCTGTGAGAAGAGCCTGGAGATGTGAGAATTGTGTGTGTCATGGCGGGCCCTGCTGTTTCCAGAGTCAGAGGGGGCTGGGTCTCAAGGCTGGACCCGCCCCTTCCTGGCCTACAGGAAGTGAGTGGGCAGCACCACCACGGATAGTGCTGCCTCCATTTCAGTTTTGTGTCTTACTCAGCGTTGCAAGTCAAATGGCATTGCAAGAATCAGATAGTGCCTCTTTAATGTAAAAGGATGCTTGAAACAGCTAAACTCCCATACAGAGAAGGAATCTGGACCCATCCCTCCCCTACTTTTGTTAGGGGATTTGTCCCGTTTCTTTTTTTTTTTTTTTTTTTTTTTTTTTTTTTTTTTTTTTTTTTTTTTTGAGGTCAAGTCTCACTCTGTTGCACAGGCTGGAGTGCAGCAGTACGATCTCTGCTCACTGCGTCACTGCAGCCTCCACCTCACAGGTTCAAGCGATTCTCCTGCCTCAGCCTCCCGAGTAGCTGGGACGAGAGGCACACACCACCATGCCCAACTAATTTTTGTATTTTTAATAGAGATAGGGTTTCACCATGTTGGCCAGGCTGGTCTTGAGCTCCTGACCTCAGGTGATCCGCCCGCGTCAGCCTCCCAGAGTGCTGCGATTACAGGCGTGAGCCACTGCACCTGGCCTGGATTTGTCCTGTTTCCGAGTGCCATAGGGGTCAGCCACAGAGCTGTCCGTCTGTACCCCAAGAAAGGCAAACTTGGCAATTTACTGGATAGGGCTCCCATGAGTTCTGTCTTTTGATATCAGGGGTAAAATGGGATGACTGAGAAACAGCTATGGATAGGAGACTGAGGGTAGGGGTGCCCTCTACAGAGGTCCTGTTAGTCGTCTGCACCAAAACAGTCAGATAGCCACCCCCATAAAGCCTGGGGCTTTAATGACCTCAGAGTCTATCCACCTCTGGATTCTGTAAGGAAGCATCAGTAGAGTGTTTCATGGCTTGGTCACATGGAGATGGTGAGCATCAGCAACCAATTCAGAACTTTGTCTGGCACCCAAGAGGGGCACTGGCAAGTTAGAACTCAGAAATGAGCCTAAGAAGGAAAGGTGGGTCTCTGAACACACCTAGGCTTGCTTGAAAGTAGGCCTGGTCCCTAAAGTTCTCTAGAACTTGCTGGGAAGACCTTGAAGAACTCCAGGGCAAGGATAAACCTCCAGGCCCGTGCTGCTTTAGCGCCCCCACCCTGGGAGCTGAGCCACAGCTACTGGATTACTAGGTGAAAGAGACCCCACTCCTTTCTCCATACCAGGATTCCAGTGCACAATGTTTTTAAAACCAATTTTCTTATAAACCTAAAGTGAAAGTACTTGCCCTTTCCTAAAACCCAAAACTTGAAATATTTCAGTTAGAAAATTCTGAAGGAGTATGAAAATTTTATGTTGAATTGGCACGAAACCATCAAGTGCTTTAAACCCATTCCAAAAAGAATACAAAATACATTGGTTTTATGCTAAAGCCTCCACGCGCAAGACCTTGGTGCTTAGTAGGAGCTGAAAACACACTGGCAGTAACAGCATTATTAGGAGTATTTTTAGCTATGGGATATCGTGCAATATGTTTTCTTTTCTCTCCAGCATCATCAGTTGGTAAATGGTTATGTCGTGTGCGTGACGCGGGCAGTGTAAGTGGTCAGAATCTTAGAAAGAAGTAGGACTCTCTAAGTCGCGTCTCAGTCAGTTGTTTGAAACTTGGAATGCATTTTTCACAGCAAGGATGTTTGGGAATAGCCCACAGACACCTGCTTAGCCCCAAAGATAGCATACTCACAGAGTGCTGAAGTAGTACACATTTGTAATCCTAAAATAGTAGAAAACTTTTATTTTACTTTTATATTCAGTTATTACATTTTTTATAAGTAAAATAGACATTTTGAATTGAAAATTAAATGGGATTTTTTTCTTTTTCTTTTTCTTTTTTTGAGACAGGATCTTGCCCTGTCACCCAGACTGGAATATAGTGGCATAATCATGGCTCACTGTAGCCTCGACCTTGCAGGCTCAAGTGATTCTCCGACCTCAGCCTCCTAAGTAGCTGGGATCATGAGCATGTGCCACCACACCCAGCTAATTTTTATGTTTTTTTAATAGAGAATGGGGTCTCCCTATGTTGTCCAAGCTGGTTTTGAGCCCTTGAACTTCTCCCACCTTGACCTCCCGAAGTGCTGGGATTAAGGCAAGAGCTACCCCACACAGACTAAAAGGGATTTTATTATCTGGAATATTAGCATTTGAGGAAAAGTAAGTTTAACTACAAGAAATGAATGAGAAGCGCTGTATAAATTCTGAAGGACACTTTTTGGTCAATTTTCAAGAATTTGGGTGGTTGAGGCCACTTGTGGCTCTCCTTTTCCTTGATGCTGGTTTCAGCACCACTTTTATACTTTACTTTTGTAGTTGGGGTTTTGTTTTGATACACAGATGCAATGGGGGAAGAAAAGGAGAAAATTTATATTTCATGTAACTGGACAAGACTTAGACATGAAAATGAAGGCTGAAGTTGGTGAAACAGTGCGTATGTGTATATGCGAAAGTAGCTAGTGATTACCTATCCTCGGGAAACTCCCTACCTCCCTAAGCTTCAGCCTTACTCGTAAAGTAGGGACAAGAATCATGTCTCTGTCTTATTGATGTCGCTGGACCGAGTGAGAAGTTGCAGAGTATTATTATTAGGACACTAATAAATGTTAACCACTATTATTAATTGTTAGTATTATTACTGTTTCCATTATCTACCTGCACAACTCCTGTGGGAGAAAGCATGGCAATAGGGTCACCATACTGGGTTGGAGAGTTCTTTGGCCATCCCCTAGGTGGTGCTGGTGACCCAGGGTAGCTGAAGAAGGTGAGCACAAGGGTTGTGTTTGGGAAAGGTGGAGGCGGGTTATAACAGGTTGTAAGTGACTGCTTAATGTTCCCATTCAGAGAGCTTATGCTTTGGTTCATGGGCCAGAAAGCAGGCTGAGAGTTGAGAATGAGCAGTGACGCTGCAGGTGGATCTGAGTGAGTATGCAGTGTGAGCAGACAGTTTTGTTGTGATATGTAGAACCTACATGGAGAAAGGGTAGTAGGGCATTAGAGGAAATTCATCTAAATAACCATGCCTGTTGCAAATGCACAGACTTTGCACAAGCAATCCAAGAAACTTAGACCTCAAGTTTAGTCTCCCTGCTTGTCCTGTTTCCTGAATTAACCCTTCTCTCCTTTTCTTTCTCTGTTTTCTCCCCTTCATCCCATGTTACCCTCTTCCCCTCCCCTGTGTCTCTATATGCCTCTGCCTTTTGCATGAACAGCGTCAAATCATGTTTCCAGAACATGGAGATCTGCAAGCGTCGGGTGAATATGTATGACACAGTGAACCAGAGCAAAACCCCTTTCATCACGCACGTGGCCCCCAGCACATCCACCAATCTGACCATGACCTTTAACAACCAGCTGACCACTGTCCACAACCAGGTAAGTGGGGAGCAGAGGGGAAAGAGGTGGGGCTGCACGGTGTGAGCCTCAGAAGTTGTATTTTCCATCATACCTAGTCAGGAGACCAAATTCCTGCTGTCATATTCAACAACTGAACAAAGTATTTGCATCCAAGGTTATTTCCTTTGAGGGACCCAGGCACATTTTGTGTTGACTACGGGCCCCATTGACAGGTCCCAGAAAGGACTGGTGAGGGGCATTCTCTCTGAGATGGTTCCCCTTACTGCTTTCCTCTGACCTGATGTGAGAATAGGGGGAAGGGAGTGCTATGATCCTTTTATGCCTGGTATCTGCCTCGTAAAGAATTCCAGAACTGGCCAGGCACAGTGGCTCATGCCTATAATCCCAGCACTTTGGGAGTCAGGGTAGGAGGATCACTTAAAGCCAGGAAGTTCAAGACTAGCCTGGGCAACACAGTGAGACCCCGTCTCTACAAAAAATACAAAAAGTAGCTGGGTGTAGTGGTGCATGCCTATAGTCTCAGCTACTCAGGAGGCAGAGGTAGGATAATTGACTTGAGCCCAGGACTTCAGGGCTGCAGTGAACTATGATTATGTCATTGCATTCCAGCCTAGGGGACAGAGTGAGACCCCGTCTCAGAAAACAAAGAAAAAGATCATGGAAACATGGATTTAATCTAAAAAAAAAAAAAAATAAAGATTCTAGAACTGGGAAGGACTCAGGGAATCACCCAGTTCAGGCCCTTCCCCTCATCCCCACATGGCTGGATCTACCTGATCTCCTTTTGGGACAGATAAAACCTGTCCTTTCTCCGAGTCATGGAGAAAATCAGTTCATCAGCCTATCACCAGAATCCCAGCAGCTGGAACTAAATGGGATCAGGAAGCTAAGGTTTTCTTCCCACAGATTTCCAGGAAATTGGCAGAACGAGCAGCTAACATACTGCTTGAAACCTGGATGACACCCAGGCAATATTTATTGAATGGATAATCTCCAAGTCCAGGCTGAGACTGCCTCTAGTGTCTAAGAAACTGTAACTCCTACTTCCATGTTTCAATCTTCCTAGTTCCCCCAAAGAAGGGTCCCCAGATTTTTGGTCTTAATGTCAATCTGGAATGACAAGACTTCTGTGTGGATGTGTGTGTACTTGAAATGTGAATACCTTATGTCCATTCTTTTTAAAAGGTCCCTCCTGTCACTGAAGAGTCAGTGCCACCTGCATTTCAGCCCCTCCCCTTCTCACCCTTTTTCCCTAGGCCATCCTTGTGGCACATTGCCCTGCTCAGGCCTAGCTTTTCTTCCCAGCCTGCCATCTCCCTTTGCCCAAATTCTAGGAGAGGCTACCTGGAATCTGCTGCCCCCTGGGGGCCGTTTGCATTCTTGAAGCTCTCCTTAGGGTGAAAGAGCTGTTGGGAGTCCGAAAACAAACCTTGCCAAGCCCTAAGGCTAAGGCATCCATAGCCAGACCTGTGAGCTTCTTGACAAAAATCAGCATGGTTTTGTTCATTACCTCCTTGAAGATATTTGTTTTTCCCACCAGCCCTCATGAGACGCCTGATCTTAACTCCCTAACCCCAAACTACCTGTCCCCATCTGCCATCTGCTCCATCAGGTATCAAAGGCATCTGAGAAATAGGAGGAAGGAGCACCCCTCTAATGCAGGCGTTATGTCAGGTGGAGTCTCCCCAGCAGGCTGTCCTTCCCATGGATGTCTTTCTGCCAGGCTGGAGAACTGTGGTCCCTGACCAGATGGGGGGGTGGCCACCGCCATCCTGCTGGTCATGTGACAGCCAGCAATCCACTCCAAAGAGTGTCACAAAGGCTCTGCAAAACTAAAAGAGTTTCTCATCAAAAGGCAGTTGTCAAATAATAACACCCCTCTTCTCCACAGCACTGAGACCATCCAGATCTGGCTTGGGACTGGGGTAAAGTAGAAGTAGCTGGTAACTTAGTGTGATGGTTGGGCCAGAGTTGTGGGTAAGGGAAAATGACATCCCACAAAAGCATAGGGTCCAAGAACAGGATTTCCATTCTCTCACATTGCATTCTGCTCCCTACTTTTGAATACATCAGAAAAAAAAAATTACTCAGGACACACCTAGCCTTAAGTTCTAAGGCATGCTTTCCCTCTGCTGATAATGTTGTTAATAAATAACATCATTACTAATAGCTAACATTTATTATATGCCAGGCTGTACTAAGCACACCATAACTCTTTATCCTCCCAGCATCATTGTGAGATAGGTTTTATTATTATCATTTCCATTTTAGAGGAGGAAACTGAGGCACAGAGTGATTAATTCTCTTACCCAAAGCCCTTTCTTGTTCATGAGAGATGGTCTTGGGCTTTACAGCCAGCAACCTGGCTTCAGAGTCTGGACTCTTAAAATCTACATACACAGCAGCATAAGTAAGTCTTAAGTAAGTCTTATAAAGGTCCCCAAATGCCTTTCCTAGATGATGTCTGCTCTTTAAATCCAACAAGACTTCTTTTGTTCATTGCTGGTTCTAGTAGCTTGCTTTCTACATGAGCTCCTTGGAGCTGTTTGCCCATTTAGATATTTAGAAGCAATAAAATATATGCATAGTTTTATGTTAGAAGTTGAAGGACGTTAAACTACTTAAAGAATTTCTTGCTGCCTTTAACATATATCCAGTAGACTAACCAAAGAACCATTTCCCAAATGATCATGAATCTACAATCCTTTATTTCTCAAGGAAGCTGGGTCAATAATTCATAACCCCTTATGTCTCAGGGCAGCTGACTTCCTCTACTTTCTAAAACTTTCAGGTTACCCAGTTGGTAACATATTAAATAATAAGTCTTCTCTCAGCTATTCCTTGTTTGTCATGTGTGCCAGCCACTTCTCTAACATTTCCGTGGAATTCTATTATTTGGACCTAGTCTTCTACCAAGAATTTGAATTTGGGTTTATAGACCAAGCTCAAACCCCTTCTTTCTGGAACCATTTGAAACATCTACTAAAACTGCTTCCAGGAATCACTTCTGTCATTTTTGGAAAACCTGTGTCATCAGTAAACTTGCTTTTTCACCAGGCGCAGTGGTGCACACCTGTAATCCTAGCTATTTGGAAGGCGGAAGTGGGAGGACCACTTGAGTCAGGAGTTCAAGTCCAGCCAGGGCAATATAGCAAGACCCCAGTCTCTAATTTTTTTTAACTTGCTTTTTCTTGTTATTACTATTTGTCAGCTGCAAGAGCTCTTCCCAGTTCTCTGTGTGCTCCTCTCTGGCAATGATAGGCTAGTTACCCTTCTGAGAGCTACAGGAAGATATACAGAAGTAGAAAACTTTTTGTTGCCCTCACATGGGCTTCTTCAACTGGTCCTTAAGCAGGATTAGAAACTGGGGGAAAACCTTATGCATGTCTGATGGTCACACTGGAGACTGTGCCATTTGTCCTTGAGTCTACAAAGAACTGGAAGATTCAGCCTCTCAAGGAGCTTATGGTCTCCATGGTGAGACAGGCTGAAGCAAAAAGAAAAAGCATTCTTGAAACTCTCCTTAGGGTGAAAGAGCTGTTGGGAGTCTGAAAGCAAACCCTGCCCAGCCCTAAAGCTATCCATAGCCAGACCTGTAAGCTTCATTAATCAAAATGTAGAATAGCATGCACTAGGGACCAGGTAGACAAACAGATTATGTGTTACAGAATCGAAAGGAAGGAGAGCCCACTGCAGGCTAGGGGAAAACACCACTAAGACACAGCCCCTCCCTTCCAGGAGACTTTAGGCTAGAAAGACCAACTGTACTGTAAGGCAGATTGTGACAGGAGCTGGGCTGGAAGGCTGTATTGTACTGTGTGATAGCAAAGGAAGGAGCAATTCATTTCCATTAATGGTGTCCGAAAGGCTTTCACAATGGGGCATATGGGACCCAGGCTAGGCCTTAAAGCACAGAGGCTTGGAGAGAATGCTGTGGGTCAGAGAACTTGTTTGAGGGGAAAGGCCTGTGCTCACAGTATGCTTGGAAAACAATGAGTAAACTAATCTTGGTGTCAGAAGAGTGAGGGGCAGAGGGAAATAAGTCTAGAAGGTAAGGTTGGCCAAACCAGGGAAAACAGGGCATGCCAGACCAAGGCGCATACCATGTTCATCAAGCCGTAATTGGGACTTTGGAGCAGGGGTGCTGACATGCACAAAGGTGTCTTTTGGAAAGCATGATCCAGCCTCTGTGCTCAAGAATGCCGGAAGGGAAGTAGAGACCAGAACATTTCTAGTCAGGGCCTTACAGGTCCCAGGCGCCAGGAAGTCGCAACTGAAAAGAGTCAGTGGGTTCCAGGGACATCAGGAAGGAAGCAGCAGGAGCAGTGGCTGGCAAGAAGGTAGAACCACCGAGCACAAGTTTGGGAACCTAGAGGATACAGGTCCCTGGACCCCCAGCAGGGACACCCACAGGGGCTAAGGGCTGGGGGAGTCTAGATATGAGCAGACCATGGGGAATGTGGAGGGTTGAGGGGGAAGAAGCCTCCGGAAGAGATTGTGATATGGAGAAAACAGGAAATACAAGTCATGTCATCTGACAAAACACAGACACTGATGTGCACATATGTGCACACATGTCCCAAGCAGACTATGCGATGCTGCAAAAGCACACCCACTTTAAAACATGTGGCTTTGGCCGGGCGCGGTGGCTCACACCTATAATCCTAGCACTTTGGGAGGCCGAGGCAGGTGGATCACGAGGTGATCCATGGTGAAACCCCGTCTCTACTAAAAATACAAAAAAAATTAGCTGGGCTCAGTGGCGGGTGCCTGTAGTCCCAGCTACTCGGGAGGCTGAGGCAGGAGAATGGCATGAACCCGGGAGGTGGAGCTTGCAGTGAGCCGAGATCGCGCCACTGCACTCCAGCCTGGGCTACAGAGCAAGACTCTGTCTCAAAAAAAAAAAAAAAAACGTGACTTAAAATCAGGCATCTGTGCCACTCAATTTCATGATTATTTTCAAACAAATCAATTTGCTTTGCAATGAAATTTAGCGCAAAATCTTTCTAAGTATAGAAAACATATGTAAAATAAAACTTTGTCCTTTTTATCAAATGTGACACACATACACACCCTACTTGAAAGTCTATTTGTGTCCAAGATATCTTCATGGTTTCTGCCTCCATATTCCCTGGTCCTTGCAATTTCTAGAGGCAAAACCTCTTGTAGACAGTGCTGAATGTGAAACCACTGGTAACCTCCACTTACTTTGCTAAAGAATCAGTATGAAGGCTAAGATGGGGAAAACTGGAGAATTCCAAAGTTAGAATTTGTTTTCGTTCTACAGCCTCATTTTGCATGCAAGTTCAGTCTCAAGTGATGTCTCTTTCTGAAGGAGAAAGGCGAGAGGACATAATGTCAGTGGCTTGTGTTTGTCAAAGCCACCTCCATTTCGGTTATCTGAACTCCCCAGCACCTTTTCTATCTGCCAGGCTTCATCACTGCATACCAGCATGAGTGCATGGGATTCAGACACAGAGCCCAGGCTCAGCATGTCCCCTCTCCCTCTCTGCATACGTCTCCTGCACTTCTCTTAGCAGTAACCTGCTTTGCAGCCATCTAAGGACATCTATGAACAGTACTGCCCGTAGACCTGAGCCCGTCCTCGGCCCTGCTCTCCACCTGTTGCATGTGCTTCTGTGCCAAGCTCTGGGTACCTGAGACCATAGTTCTTTAGGGCCTGCAAGAGCCTCCCTCTGGATTTGTCCTCCCACATGTGGACTGCACCCACCAGGCCCGAGGGGAGTGTGAGCAGAGCTTGAACGTGCAGGCTGGCAGGTCCAGGCACTCAAAGCCCATCGTGTTGTGGGATGGAATGGGGCTCGGCAGAGAGAAGGAGGGCAAGGTCCAGCTCTCTCCCCGTCACCATGCGCCAGCACAGAACCCAAGGAATCCCAGAGTCCTCAACTCACGCCTGGTCTTCCGGGTGATTGAGAAGGTGTTTGTGTCAAAATGAAAAGACAGAACATTTTATTAAACAGGTTTCTAGCTTTATTTTTAGGCTTTTCAGCATTTAGACATATGGTAGCAGACATCCATGTGTCCTCTTGTCCGGGCCCCACAAATGTCAGGAGGAGGTCTGAATGTGAACACCAAGGTGACTGTCTCTCGTGCCTTCAGGGACCTGCTTTTCCCTGTGACTTTCAGCTGTGTTTCCACTCCTCTCTGCTTCTGCCTTTTTGCTCTTAGTTTTTGTTGGTTTGTTCTTCTTTGAGTTCATTTATTTGATTTAGATTCGTGTCTCCCAACATACCACCTCCCTCATTTTTTATTTTTGTTTATTTTTGTTTAATCCCCATCACTCCTTTAGGCTCCCTCCTCTACCAGTGCCACTGTTTCCTTAGCCAATCCCGAAGTCTCCATACTAAACTACCCATCTACACTCTACCAGCCCTCAGCGGCATCCATGGCTGCAGTGGCCCAGCGGAGCATGCCCCTGCAGACAGGAACAGCCCAGATTTGTGCCCGGCCTGACCCGTTCCAGCAAGCTCTCATCGTGTGTCCCCCCGGCTTCCAAGGTAAGGTTGAGCAGTCACAGCCTCTCACCTGCTCCTTACAGAATGGCCTCTGGGGCTTCGGCACCTGCAGTTTTCTGTCACGCTCATTTTCATGGAGAAAGGCCCTCCTCATTTCTTCCAGTGAGAGCGCTGGTATCACTGAACTTGAGGGCTCCTCTCCTACTGTGGCCAACCTACAAACAATAGGGCTTATGCCTCAGCACCAAGTCAATTCATTGTGACTCTCACACCTGCCAGGGACTGTGTCCCTGGCCAGCTGTCTGTAAATAAGTACATTGTTTGTGCTTTCATTGTTATGCTGATGTCAGCTCTTGCTTTTCCTTGCATGAAATATCCTCTGTGTGGGTTATCTATAGAAAACTGCCAATCTCTGACAGCCAGTGTAGTCCCAGCTCCCATGAAGAATATCAATCAGTCTGAAAAGTACTTCCCTGGAACACCTCCTCAAAACGATTCTTTGGCCATGACCCCAGCACTTCTCTTCTGTAGACTCTAAGAAGCTAGACTGTGCACTTCGTTACAATTTACCCAGAAAGCTTAAGAATTTATTTTTGCAAGCCTCATGGTGTAAACTGTGTGGTTTTAGTCAATGCAATTCCAAATGGGTTCATACATCTCCCAACACCCTTTATTTTGACATACACAAGTACATCTTGATGGTCAGAAGTCCTTGTTTTCCTGTTGTAATCTGTCAGCATAACTGTCCTACTTTTGGCCTCACAGCCTCCTTAATTTGACCTTCTAGCCTTTGAAAACATTCAAGATGTCAGGAGGAGTTTTGTTTTTTAATTCGTTAGAAGCTAAGGGGAGACTTCCCAAGGACCAGGCAACACCTGGTTATTGTCAGTGACCAGTGCAAAGGGAAGCTGAAAGATGACGTAGCTGGCTAGGAAGGTTTTCTTCATCCAGCAGTTCACAGCCTCTCAGCTAACCCTTCTCTCCCTCACACTGTCTGGAACAGGCTTGCAGGCCTCTCCCTCTAAGCACGCTGGCTACTCGGTGCGAATGGAAAATGCAGTTCCCATCGTGACTCAAGCTCCAGGAGCTCAGCCTCTTCAGATCCAACCGGGTCTGCTTGCCCAGGTAATTCTTTCTCCTTTATTATTACTGGTATTACCATCACCCATGTTAATGTTGTTCACAAAAGATATATCTTTCCACTCCCTCTCTCCCTAGTAATGAGTTAGGTGCTTCTAGTCATTGGAATGTATCTGTAATATTGTAAATGGTCCCCAAGTGAATTAACTTCCTAAGTATCTGCTTACAATTCCAAGAAGAAATTTAGATACAGGGAGAGTCTGGGGAAATTATTATTATTCTATCTTTGAAATGCAAATTAATCTGGGAGACCTAGGTTTTAATCCTAACTGCTAGTAACTTGTCTATGACCTAAGGCAAGTCAGTTAATATCTCTTTGCCTCAAATTTCTTTCTTGTAAAATAGAAATGAGTTTTTAGAGCCAAAAGGAGCCTTGGCGATTATCCTCTCATTTTATAGTTGAAAAACCAGGCTCAAGGTAACTGTAAGCTGGAACCTTCCTTATCTATCCATGTAGGTGCTTTGATGGTAGAATGAGATGGCAGAGATGAAAAATGGTTGAAAATTTGTAAAGTGTTATGTAAACATAAGGTAACAGTAGTGATGCAGTGATAACAGTAACAATCCTTAATGACACTTGAACCCTAATAACAAATGCATCATCATTATACCAGGGCACTTTACAGTTGTTAATTGATTTAATCCCCACTATGCCACAGTATTTGTCTCCATTTGACAAACAGAGAAACTGAAGCAGAATAACTTGCTCATCAGAGTTACACAACAATTAGGTAACAGAACCAGGACACACACCCGATAAGCCTGATGCCAGCATCTGTATTTCAACCACCAAAAGCCACTACTTTTGTATAATCATTTCTACTATTGAGTAGCTTGACCTTAATGTTATTAGTTTAGAAGCAACTTTATTTTTAAATAAGATAGGTTCACAAAGTCTTTTCCCAAAGACACTATTTGCCCTGTCTTGTTAAATAGAAGTTGTTTTTGTTGTTGTTTAGTTTTTATGTAATCAAATTGCATAGGTTTGTTCTACGCTCTCTTCTATTCCATGGGCTTCTCTAATATCCTGTTGTCTTAACCATTGTAACTTTAATCTGTCCTAGTATGTAGTAGGGAAGCCCTGTTCCCATAGAGTTCTTCAAATTTTCCTTGTCTGTTCTTGTCCCTTCACTTTTTCATGTGAATTTTAACATCACTCTTTCATAAGATTTTAGTTCCAGAAACAAAAAATCTGCTTTATATTTATTGGATATACATTAAATTTACTTCAGGAACAATTGACGTCTTTAAACATGTAAGTCATTTTTATGCATGAACATGGTATAACACTCTGTAATGGGTGTGGTGGTGCACACCTGTAGTCCCAGGCCTGTAGTCTCAGCTACTCAGGAGGCTGAGATGAGAGGATCACTTGAGCCCGGGAGTTCAAGGCCAGCCTGGGCAACATAGTGAGACCCCATCTCTACAAAAAAATTTAAAAATTAGCTGGACATGGTGGCACATGCCTATAGTCCCAGATACACAGGAGGCTGAGGCAAAAGGATCACTTGAGCCCAGGAGTTTGAAGCTGCAGTGAGCTATGATCACATCATTGCACTCCAGGGTGGGCAACAGGGTAAGACCCTGTCTGTAAAAAAAAAAAAAAAAAAAAAAAGAATTGATAGAAACACTTTATCATGTTTAAGTTTTGTAATGAATATTGAATTATATCAAATGTTCTGTCTGTATTTATTAAGACACTCATATGCTTTTTGTTCCTTATCTACTAATGGGACAAGTCATATTAATATATTTTGTAATATTAAATTACCCTTTTATTTATGAGATAAACCCCATTTGCTCATGTGCTTGATATGGTATGCTTTTTAATGTAGGATTCAGTTTATAAATACTGTAGTTAGTATTTTTATATCTATGTTCATAAGTGAAAAATGGCATATAATTTCCCTTTTTATAAAATCCTTATCTGATTTGAGTACAAGGTTACACCGGGCTCATAAAATGTCTTCTTATTGTTGTTACCCACACGAGTGGGTTTGGTCACTTGACAGGTACCACCCCAATGACCACAGCCAAGGAGTATTTAGCAAGGGGATTTTATTACTTGTAACAAGTAAGGAGAACACTGGAGCTAGTTCCCAAAGCAGTGTCTCTGAGCGAAGGGCTGGGTCAGGTTTTATAAGCATAGGGTAATGAGGCATAATCTGATTGGATTTTGCAATGAATTGATATGAGAGGCATGATCTGACTGGATCCTGCCATGCGGTGATGCCAGAGCTCGATCTGATTGGATCCTGGATCCTGCCATGTGGTATCCATTTCTAAATTCCATCCACTCGCCTCAATCCAGGCACTTAGGTTCTGCCTGTGGTTGCATACCTGGTTCATCTGGGCATGCTTAGGTTATGTGACCTTTAACCTGTGGATCCATGGCAAATGGAAAACAGCTCACAACTTTGTTACACAGAAGTTGAACCAGACTGCTGTGGTTACATTATTATCTATTCTGTTTTCCAGAACAGTTTGTTTAAGATTGATATTAAGCATTCTTCATCTCTGTGCTTCTGTCCAGAATGACACTGTGCAACACCAGTGACTGGTAGCACACACAGTTTTGTCTTATTGAAAGTTTGTAAACAGAGAACCTTTTGTATTTAAAACAGGCCTTCTCTTCCTTCCTCTCTCTCCAGTGGGTCCTTGTAGCTTCCTTTTATTTGCATAGTTCAGTAGCGGGGAGTTCAGAAAAGGCCTAGATAGATCAGAGAAAGAACTACAGCTCAGTCCAGGGGCAAAAAAGCTTGTTCATACTTTATCTGAGTGGCAAAAATCCACACCAGTCTGCCAGTGCTCCACCTTTGTGAGCCCAAATCTACAGAACTCGCATGTACTTTTAAAGGATAATTACAGATCTTTTTTATGTTTGCATACTTAACCCTAGTAAGCCAGGAACCATCTCTGAAAGAAATAATAATTAGCATCTCTTATTAGCTAAAATAGGGATTCTTCATTGTTCAGTTTGGTGGAACCAGTAGACTCAGCAGTCAGAATTTGTTTCAGTCCTTTAATCGTAGCAGGGGAGAACTTTACCTTTTGCTTCCTTGAAAGAGGGTCCCTAGAGTTTTGTAAATCTCCAAGTAGATTTAACCTAAAGCTGTAATTAGGAAAGTGAGCAAAAAATATATGTGTAAGGATTTTAATTGCTACTGTGTTCATAACTGAGATTGTTGGAAGAAACGTGAACGTTCGTCAGTAGGGGATTGGTTAAATAAGTTGATGCATACATAAAATAGAACACCATGTAGCCATTAAAAGAACATGGTAGACCTATGTGTCTTGACATGCAGAGATTTCTAAGATATATTAAGTGAAAAAAATCCTGCCCTATCCAGTATCATGTTGTGTCTTTTTGTCTGTTGCTTTTTATTTTTCTCTCCGCTTGTCACTTAATCCATGCCAATATGTTAGCCTGTTGAGATGGGCTCTCTCCTAGATATTTTTAAATGTTCCCTTCAAAGGACAAAAATAAGTTAATTTATGAAACTCTTATGGTGGCTATAAAAAAGCAACAATTAAGCATTTAAACTGAAGCCTTCATTTTCCTACGGTTAAATTTCTAGGCACCAGGCAGAGGCATTCCAAATACTATTATTTGACATAAATGTATTCAAAAAGTTGACATTGTCCTTTTTCTCTAAATATTGAAAATCTTTTAAAGGATTTTACTTGTGAACACTTAGAGATGGAATCTTTGAATCCACTCCTCATGTTAACTTCATTTTCTTTGCCCTTTTCCTCCCCACCTCCCAGCAGCATCACATAAAACTTTCAGGGCAGCGAGCCTTTGTGGGGCACCCAGAGGATGTGTGCATGGCAGGTGGAAATGGTAATCATTCTGCTTATGTCAGTGATATGGGAGTGATCTTTGTGGATCACCTTGCAACAAAAGCTTTTTTGGTACTGCCTAAAAGGAGCTGTCATCTCCATCCTCACAAGCCCCACGCCACAGCTAGCATCTTGGCCACCAACAGAAATTGTGAATGAGCAGGTAATAGTGGAGAGATGGGCAGCACAGTTCTTGATTGAGACAGTATTGAATTTATCTCACTTGTCAAATGGCAGGATCTAAAATCTCCTTTGACTAGCAGCGTTGGAGAAGAAATTCAGAAATGCCAGATCACTGTAGACTCTACCCTTCCATGAAGTGTTTTGCATTCTTCTAGCCAATCAAATCATATCACCTGAACCTCTTTATTTTTTACTTATTTACTTTATTTTTTGGGCTCATATTTGACCAACTGAACCTTTAAATGCTTCCCTAAAAACAAACTGTTGTCTTGAACCCTTTAAACTGTTCAAAATACAAAACTTTAATGTTTCTCACTCAAAATTTCCTCTGATAACATTTTCAGCAAGCAGTCTTTGCTACCATTGTCCTGCTGTCTGCCTCTCTCTTGACTGGCACCTGATATTGTTAGAGAATAAGGAAGACTTGTTCATGCCACCTTTATGCAGTTAACCACCAATGCCTGATCCTCAATAGGGGCCATTATTTCTGTGTATTATCAGCACAAGGAGAGGTAGTATACTGGCTGAAAGCATGGGCGCTGGAATTAGGTTGCCCACATTCAGATGGCTGCGTCACCACTGTATGGCTGTGTGGCTTTGGGGAAGTTATTTTTGAAGTTTAAATTTAATTCCTTTTCAAAGTAATACATGTACATAATTTTTAAAAGTTGAATAATCCCATAAACTTATAAGAAAGTTATAGTCCTCTGCTCTATCCCATCCTTAATGTCTACTCCCCATAACAATATATATATTGTTATATTATATATGTGTGTATATATACACACATATATTATCCCTGTTATATATATATTTTATATATATATAATATAACTCCTGAAAGTTTACATATATATACACACACACACACATATATATATACACACACACACACACATTTTTTTTGAGACATAATCTTGCTCTGCCACCAGGCTGGAGTGCAGTGGTGCAATCTCAGCCCACTGTAACCTCCGCCTCCTGAGTTCAAGCAATTTTCGTGCCTCAGCCTCCCGAATAGCTAGGATTACAGGCATGTGCCACCATGCCCCAGCTAATTTTTTTTTTGTATTTTTAGTAGAGACTAGGTTTTACCATGTTGGCCAGGCTGGTCTCGCCTGCCTTGGCCTCCCAAAGTGCTGGGATTACAGGTATAAGCCACTGTGCCCTGCCCATAACAATAATTTTTAACTTAACTGTTTAATCTGTTCTTTAACTCTGTGTTTCTAAATAACATGCTTAGACTGCTTTTTATGGATTTTTTTCCATTTTAGGTATTATCCATTGACTTCCTATTATGGAAGATGAAGATTTAGCTTTCTAACCCACTGCCATCCCCGTAACACACACACAATTTCTCTCCTGTTCCTCCTTTCACTCACTCTTTTCTCCTATTCCTCCCACATAATTTTGATTCAACTACTTTTTAATATTTATGTAATTATCAATATTATACAATATTATTCTCAGTTGAGCCTTATAATATACCATGATTATGTTTCCTTTCTTACATATCTTTTTGTTTTTCCTAGAGTTAATGATTGCCTCATTTTTCCCATTGGGTTAGTTTTCTGTATATCTCATTATACAGCCCCAAACCCTTCCAGAGCTATAAAAGGTTTGTATGTTTACTGTGTTGCTGTGTTTGAGCACACTTATCTCAGTATATTATTTTTCTTTCTCTGAAAGCTTTTAAGACTTTTTCCTCATCCACATTGGACTCACATTTCGTGACTACATGCCTTCTTTTGGGTCTTTTTTCTTACATTGTCCTGAACACCCTATTTGCCCTTTTAATCTGGATTTTTTTTTCCTTTGATAATTTCTTCCCCTCCATTTTCTCTGTTTCTCCTTTGCAGTATTCTTATTAATTGAGTGTTGGTACTTCTAAATTGATCGTCTGATTTTCTTATCTTTTTTCCCCTCTATATCCTGTATATCCTCTGTCAGCACTACTTTCTAAGAGATTTCTTAAACTTTTTAAAAACCTTCCTTTGAATGGTTAATTTCTGTTGTCATAGTTCTCATTTCCAAGAGTTTGTTCTCTGCTCCCTCCCCACCAAAAAAGAGCATGTTCTCTGAATATAGATAATGATTCTTTATATGATCTTGTTTCATAGATATATTTTTTAACTCTGCACGGCATTAATTATAGATTTTAGAAAATTTTCTTCTGATTCCCACACTGTTTTTGTTTCCTCTTTCTTTTGTTTGCTTATTTTACTCTCTTTAGGTTAGAAGCTTCCTTTACTGTCTGGCATTCATTAGCTATTCATTCCTATTTAAAACTAAAGCACTAAAAAACTAATTGGAAAGCTGGAGGGCAGGGTAGAGACTATTGAATGTGGGCTTCTCTATAGGCTGAAAAGAGGCAAGTCCAGCATTTTCACTGGCAGATCCCCTGATCCTTAAATGTCATATCTGTAGTTATTTTCTCTTGGACTAGTCATTTCCCCTAGAGAGAATCCTCTAGCCTCCTGCTTTGGGGCGGGGAGTGGAGGATGGTATAAGCATGTACACCAAGAATCTGGGAACTAAGGGGAAATGAAGACCTGACCTGAGATTCCTTCAGTCTGTTAATTCACTTAGTAATTGTCCATCAGTTTTTGAGCTTCTAAAATGTTATTAATGGTGATTGCCTCTCTCCTACTCTCTTTGCCCTTATGAATCTGTATTTTTTATTCCTTTACTATCATTTTAGTTGAGTGTAAAGAAGGCAATAAATGTGTATGTTTGATTTACCATATTTCTGGGCAAGTTATTAATATTTAACCTCTCTGTGTCTCACTTTATTAATCTGAGAAATGGAAGAAAATAACAGTCCCTACCTCACAGAACTGGTGTTAAGAAGTCAGAAAAAAAAGAAGTAGTCAGAAACCCATTTATGACTTAACTCTGTGTTTGGCACACAGTATGCATTAAGAAATGTTCGCTGCATTCTTGGTAGTAGTAATAAATTATAAAAATGTCTGATGAAATGTTGTCACAAATGAGCCAAGCATATCAATCAGTGAAATAAGTCAAAAACAGTCTTTCTACCCCATCTCTTTGAGGTAAAATGTTAATATCCATTTCAGGGAAATAGAAGAAAAATGATAACCTTAGCTTGATATCAAGATTTATTTTTTTAAATGACATTAGTTAAAACTAATGCTTTTCATGAGATCTGAAATGAGTTCCAATTGGCTAAGTCAGTAGAAACCTTACAGCAAATGAAATTGTTATTCATTTAATATTTGGAATTTGCAACTGTTTTAATCAATTAATTATGTTTCTGCATTCTGTGAATTAAGTAAACCTGAAACACAATTAACTGTAGTTAATAGCCTTTGTGGAGTTGCTTCTTTCATTTTATCAACAGATATTAAGCACTCTTGGTATGAGCTGTGGTCCCTGAGCTTTCTGCCTATATCAAAAGCAAACAAACAGTATCAGAAACATCTAAGAGATCTCACTGGGCCTCAGGTACAACATGAAAATAATGGAATAGGTGAACTGGTCCACTCAGCTCTCAAATGTGATTCTATCATTTTTATAAGCATCAATATTTTTTAAGCCCTGACTCAAATCTGTAATCCATTTCCAGAAGTGCTTATTTGTACATATAAAACACCCACATTGAGCACATGCACAGTCTGTGAACACTGCATTCGATAAATTACCCAATGTTAGTCACATCCACTCTGATAGAAAGAGAGGTAGCTAAGATATCAAACCTTTAAATATTTGATCTGTCCAAAAGGTATTTTACCTTAGTGACTATCCTTTAAGTGTCCAACTTTAGGCAGTGGTATTCAGTCTGAATCATCTAATGACCAAAGACAAGCAGAATAGTGATCGTGGATAAAAAGAGCTTAAAACACAACATACACACACACACACACACACACACACACACACACCAGTGAATCAAGGAAGAATTACAAACGTTCATTTTAGATTTCTTAGAAAAATTAGATTCAAGCAGTGACTTCCACCTATCTCTCATTTTTGCTTTAAGAAATCAAAGTAATTCTCAATTATGCTATAGTCACAGCTAAGAATTTTACTTCATACTTGCTTGCTCTCAGATGTAGGTTCCAGATATTTGGTGATCTTAGAATTGTGTAAACTTAGATTCAGAAGATTCACAAGCTGGAACCTAGATTCTAATTGATAAATCAAAGGTAAAATGTTAAATAAAGAATACTAGGCAGAAAGCTTCTTGAGGGCCAGCAGTCACCCTCATCTAGCCCAACTCAACTACCCTAATCCCCTGTACATGGTTGTGGGACAGAACAAGTAAATAAATAAACTTTCAGAAACTTCAAGCATTGCTCATTAGAGCAAATTTATAAAGACATCATTCTTCAACATGAATGAATCCCTTCCATACAGATGTGTCCCTGTACTTAATTATCTTGTACTTTGTTCATATATGTTCTTTTTTTTTTTTTTTTTTTTTTTTTGAGACACAGTCTCGCTCTGTTGCCCAGGCTGAAGTGTGGTGGCGTCATCTCAGTTCACTGCAAGCTCCGCCTCCCGGGTTCACGCCATTCTCCTGCCTTAGCCTCCCGAGTAGCTGGGACTATAGGCTCCCGCCACCACGCCCAGCTAATTTTTTGTATTTTTAGTAGAGACGGGGTTTCACCATGTTAGCCAGGATGGTCTGGCTCTCCTGACCTTGTGATCCGCCCACCTCAGCCTCCCAAAGTGCTGGGATTACAGGCTTGAGCCACCGCGCCCGGCCTGTATGTTCGTTGTTTGTCTCCCTTACTTTAGTTTTTGAGGCCAGAGACCAGGCCCTCACTCTCACACCCATAAGAATGTCTAGCACAACCCCAGGCACAGAATAAGTGCGGATTCATGCAAATCAATTATGTGATTAGCAAACATGGTCATTGCACATGTCCTGTGTTCTACAGCAGGCTTGGCCAAGTGGGACCCAGCAGATCCTGCTTCCCCCAGCATGGCAGCAGCTGACGGGAGTGGCCACCCACACATCAGTGCAGCACGCCACCGTCATTCCTGAGACCATGGCAGGCACCCAGCAGTTGGCGGACTGGAGGTAAGCAGGAAACCCCTCTAGGGTGAGTGGGTGTGTCTGGGATGAGAGGCATGTTCACTGCAGACACAGGGCTGCCAGGCCAGCCTATACTTGAATTCCCTGGTTTGTAGACACTGTGTGGACTATGAGTGCAGTGTAACAAGAAGCAATTTTTAAATAATATACCAGGATACAAGAAAACCTGCTTCATTAATTTATGCTCAGTTGTCATTCCCACCGAGAATTCAGTTATGTCATTTAATCATCAGTGTAATTCACCAGACTTGGTTCTGGATGATGTTTGGTAGTTTCTCAGAATTAAATTCCACGTTCAGAAAACAAAAGTCTGTCACCAGTGAAAGAATGCAGAAGAGGGTCCCCAAAGCCCTAAGCAATTCTAGAAAGTGTTCTGAAGATGTTTGAGACGGGGGTGCTCTAGAGTCTATCTGACCTCCCAGGGGAAGGTTTGACAGAACGGGGTTTATTTGGAAGGGTAAATCCTGGCCTATTTGCTGAGTGTGCCTCTTCAGTTAATAGGCATATCTTACAGATTAGAGCCTACTTCCCACACACCCGAGAGGCATCCACCTGACTGCCTGCCAGCGCTGCATACCCCCTGCGTCTGTTTCCACAACTCTTCCCTGTCCAACTCATGATCTCCTCACAGATGCACTCCTCTGTTATTTTTATGGCTAGATACCCTTGTACCTTCCCCCCAACACCACCACAATGGCCCCCTTCACCAGTGCAGAGCCAGATGGCAGCCCTCCAGGTTGTCCCCAACTCCTCATGGCCCTTTTGGGCTATCTCTCATTCTGCACGAATATCAGGGCAGGTCACTCCCCTCAACCCCCTGACAGCCTCCATATCACCCAGGGAGCCTCCCACAGTTCTTATTCTGACCTACACGGCTATTGTGAATTAAGATCTCTCAGGGAAAAGTAGAAAGGTGGTGATATAAGCCCCCAGTCAGACCCCTACTGGAGCTTCCTCCATTCCTCCACTTCATTTTCTGCCTAGTACAAAATATCTGGGCCCTTCCCCACAGTCCCACTCACTTCCCCACTGGCAACACCCTCATGCCACCACTGCACTCCAGCCTGGACGACAGAGTGAGACTCCATCTCAAACGGTGTAGAGCTGAGTTCAATCCTGGCTCTGCATGACCTGGGGCAAGTTAATCTTTATGCTCCTCAGTTTCTTCTTCAATAAAGGGATAGTAATGCCTACTTCACAGGATTGTTGGGAGGTTTAAATTGAGGTAAAATACAAAGCACTTGGCCCATATTTAACATGTACCATCACAGTGCCTGGTACATGACAGGCATTAAATAAACCTGTCATCTTCCCTCCCCACTATCACATAGGCCCATGCTCAGCAAGCTCGCCTTTCCTCCTCCAGTTCATTAGGAGCAGCCAAGTGGAAAGCTGTCTGACCAGCTGGGTTTTTTTTTCCCTCGCCCCTTTTTCTCCTAAAAGACCACACACGTAACATATTCCTATTTTCCCCCTTTGTCTTTCAGCATTTATAGCTCATCTAATTTCAGAAATACACATACACTTACTAATTCCTACGTATTTCTTATTCCTCCTCCCTCCTTCCTTTCTTTTTGACATCTCTTACCTACTGACCACAGAAGACATCCAAAATCAGCATACTCTCTTCCTGGTCTCTCTCCATGTCTTGTGTGAGCCAAAGAATATCTATTATTGTGGATAGATATCTAATATCTATAAGAAACAGAGGTACCAGTGCTGGGCCTGACTCAAAGGAGAAGGAATGCCATCTGTCTATGGGAGAAAGAGCTACAACAAAATAAAGAAGCCATAATATCAGTTTCTTGGCTCACATCTGTAATCCCAGCACTTTGGGAAGCCGAGGCAGGCAGATCACCTGAAGTCAGGAGTTTGAGACCAGCCTGACCAGCATGGCCAAACCCCGTCTCTACTAAAAACACAAAAATTAGCCGGGCGTGGCAGTGCACACCAGTAATCCCAGCTACTCAGGAGGCTGAGGCATGAGAATCGCTTGAACCCAGGAGGCAGAGGTTGCAGTGAGCTGTGATCATACCACTGCACTCCAGCTTGGGCAACAGAGTGAGACTCCATCTCAAAAAAGAAAAAAGCCATAATGAGTTTCTAAAGTCCATGTAAATGCCCAAAAGACGCTATCAAAATCCCTACAAAAGTATTCATCTACTTCTTTTTTTTTCCTATTCATCCTTTTCCCCATGTTGCAACAATAGGTTCTTATAATTTTTTTAAATTCAAATGAATTATCCTTTAGCTCTGAATTTTATTATGTGTTAAATGAGCTCTTATGGGCAAATCTCTGAGTCAGTCACCACCTTTAACATTTCTGTGGGAAAACAAGGCTTTGAGCTTCATACAACCCAGATTATAAGAATTTTGAAACATAACCCATTCTTAGGATGAGGGCTGCCAGTATTTCTATCATGACTGTTATTAATTTTGATTTAATACCAACTTTATACTTGTCTAGTCAACCTTCAGTTAATCTAATTGTTCATTCAGCAAGCGTGTAATTAATTGATCAACTGCTACATGCCTGAGCATTGTTCTAGCCACTGAGGTAATTCAAAAGAACGTTAACACTTCCTAACACCAGAAGCATATGGCTCCCAGGCTTCAAAGTTTGTTTTTCACCTAAAGGACAATTTCTTCATTAATAAAATGGTATTGCTAAGATATCCTGTCTTCATCACAGAGTGGAATAAAATAACCCATTGATGACACTTTGTAAATTCCACTTTTTCTTCATTTAAAAAATATTTTTATAAAATTAAGGTGAAACCTTTTTTTTTTTTTTGAGACAGTGTCTTGCTCTGTCACCCAGGCTGGAGTGCAGTGGCACTATCTCGGCTCACTGTGGCCTCTGCCTCCCAGGCTTAAGTGATCCTGCCACCTCAGCCTCCCAAGTAGCTGGGCCCACAGGTGCACACCACCATGCCCAGCTAATTTTTTCTATTTGTGGTAGAAAGGGGGTTTTGCCATGTTGCCCAGGCTGGTCTCGAACTCTTGAGCTCAAACCATCAGCCTGCCTCGGTCTCCCAGAGTGCTGGGATTACAAGCGTGAGCCACCATGCCTGGCCTGTAAATTCTAAAATAAAATATTGTTCAGGATAATCACCTACGTGCTCAGGGACTTTAAAAGTTGGAGGAAATATTTATCTCCTGTCCCTAGAACTTAAAAACTCAGAGCCGGTGCACTTGGCATTTTTCCCACTTGAAAGTCCTCTTTCTCACTCACAACCAGTTGTGTTTCTCCTACTCCTTTTGAGTAGAAGAAACCCACTGGATGAGCACACATGGCCAGGCTCATCCCTTTAGCTGCCGCACAGCTAGTGAAATAACCAACTGCAGTCAGCCTTTAACTGGGGAGGAAGCTTGGTCTTTCAGAGGAGCTCTGCTTTTAGAACACCTCTAAGGCCCCTTGTTGTCCCGGCTGCCTTTCAGGAACACGCATGCTCACGGAAGCCATTACAATCCCATCATGCAGCAGCCTGCGCTATTGACCAGTCATGTGACCCTTCCAGCAGCCCAGCCCTTAAATGTGGGTGTGGCCCACGTGATGCGGCAGCAGCCAACCAGCACCACCTCCTCCCGGAAGAGTAAGCAGCACCAGTCATCTGTGAGGTAGGTGGTGAGAGCCACCCTAGGGAAGAGAAATCCCAGGAGATATGAGTGCTAAAGAAACGTAGTTTAGGATTAGGGAGTATCAGCACCCACTCTGAACATGGGACAGTTGCATGGGACGGGGGCACTCCTCTTCCTGCAGTGGTTAGCAAAACATCCCGTACCACATGAACTGGCCTAGGGTTTGCAGGAAGCACTTGGTTTAAGACCGTGGTAATAGTGTAGGGATGGATGCAACGGAATCTTGCAGTGGGCAAGAGAGATTGGGCTCAACTCCATACATATGGGCAAGTGAAAATTTATAGCCAAGGCGGGGTTGGGGAGTGTGGATGGATGGGAAGTTACTAAGAGGAAGCATCAGGGGTAAGGGAGATTCTGCCTAAACTGACCTAACAGGATTCTTGCTAATGACAGGCCCAGGTAATCAGACATCACACCTGGAGACTGAGGAACCTAATCAGATATCAAGGGTGATCAGATATCAAGGATGGTGGGTTCTTGCTAAACTGACTGAGCAGGGTTTTTTGCCAAAAGGAGATTGTACAGCAGAGTGCACAGTTAGACCTAGGAGAAGCTTCACAAGCCTGACTAAAGTTTGGTGAAGCAAATGATCTTTTGTCACTTTCTACTTGTCCAGAGAACACTCAGCCTCACCTGAAGTTTCATTTTGGAAACGATTTACCATAATACTTGTTTAAAAATGTTTTAAAATGTTGAAGGTGTTAAAAAATGTTTTAAAAATACTAAAGAAATGTGCTTTCTTTGCATCTAAGATCAGAAGTTTAACTGATGTAGTACCTTGCTTAAATATAAGCAATAGCTTGTTTAATACCAGACACTAACAAGCAGAACACGAATCTTTCCCATTCCCTTTAAATCCATTCTCATCTCAATGAACACTTTAAAAAATCAAGGTCAACAAAAGGCTGCATACTGTATGATTCCATTTATATGGCATTTTGGAAAAGGCAAAACATAGAGACAGAGATCGGATCAGGGCTTGCCAGAGACCAGTAGGAGAGGAGGAGATTGACTGTGAAGAAGCCTGAGGGAAAAAGCTCTAAGTCTGGATTGTAGTGGGGGGTTATGACTGTGCATTTGTCAAAACTCATCAAACACTTCAAAGGGAGAAATGTTACTATATGTCAGTTATACCTTAATAAACCTGACTTGTTAAAAAATAGAGATTTCCAAGCCAGAGAGAGAGAGTGAGAGAGAGATTGTGTGACTACAGGATTGCTCCTACATCTCTTCCTAATGGCACAGCTTTGAGGTGCTTAATTGCTTATTTGTGATAAGTTAATCAAGAGAAATCCGGTTTACAAAATGTCTAGTGGTTTTGGTTTTCTGCTTCCTCATATAACCGGATACCAGAAACTAGGCCTTCTTCTTTTCATTCTCATTCAAAAATTCATCCAAGGGCTGAAGTTGCCATCTTTCAATATTCCTTATTTGGGTGTTTCTGACGACTCAGGAAAATTTATCTCAGATCATTGGCAACTTTCCAGAACGCTTTTGTGAGGCAGCCTTGTGACAGCTCACCCATGTCATTATTAGACTGGGTGGCAACAAAGTCCACTGTCTCGATCCTCATGGGCTGTCATGCCCAGCAAGGTCACATGGAACACTAGTCTGTCCCAGGACTGAGCTTAGCATCTTTGTGGTTCACCTTGGCTGAGTAGGGGCAGTAAGAACCCTTAGCCTCCCAAGCTGTTTAGCAAGTCCCTCCTTTTTGTCTACTCACCACCCAGCTGGCCTCACGAAGGCTCATTGCCAGTGCATTTCAAGATCGATATAATTATAGTGAAAGTTATGTATTTGCTTATTTTTAAGACCAATGCCTTAGGCAAAACAGTCTGAAAGAACAGTAGTCTCTCCCTTGTTGGCGATGTGGCCAGGCGTACTTTTCCTTAACAATGCCAAGTGGAGATATTAAAACCATTGGTAGTGAAAAACATAATCTTAAAATCGTAATGTATTAGCAACAACAAATATATAGGTTTATAGTAAGTACAAACAATGGTACAATCTTACCAGTGAAACGTATTACCAGTCCCTAGGAAGGAGCAAGCAATGCATCTGGCACTAGCTAGATAGAAAAATAAATCTACCTTATTGAATTATTTTCATTTTACTGCCATCCCTTTAGCTAGAAGGTGCTAGAATCTCTAAAGACATATAAAAGTCTGAGTTTCGTTATACATTGGCATTAGTCCCTCACTGCATAGATACTACAGGTTGAGCATCCCTAATCCAGAAATGCAAAATTGTCCCAAATTCAGAACTTTTTGAGGATTGACATGATGCCATAAGTGGAAAATTCCACACCAGACATGTGGTCTCAGTCAAAACTTTGTTTCATGCACAAAATTATTTTAAAATAATGTATAAAATGACCTCAGGCTATGTGTATAAGGTGTATATGAAACAGAAGAATTTTGTATTTAGACTTGGGTTTCATCCCCAAGATATCTCATTATTTATATGCAGATATTCCAAAATCTGAAAAAAACAAAAATCCAAAACACTTCTGGACCAAGCATTTCAGATAAAAGAAGTTCAACCTGTGCCAGAGTCAGTGAGGATCTAATGGGGAGGGGAGAAAGTATTTTTCCCCTAAAGTTAACAAAAATCACATTGGTTAATTTAGTAAGGAATTTCAAGTTGGTCAAAATTAAGATTAAAAGGTCTCTTTTTTTTAAGAGTGCTTTTTCCTCTTACACTTTTCCAAATTTTCTATTACAATTTAGACTGAGCCTCCCATGAGGCTCCATGAGACAAAATGCAGAAAAAGTCATTTTTAAGGTTTTTAGCAATTATATGCACACAGATATTTTTGATGGTCATGTTCTTTTTCCAGAGGAGGAAAGAAGGAAAACTGAACCATTAGTCACCAAGGTTAGGTCCTTTAGATCCTGAAACTCTTGGCCGGGCGCAGTGGCTCACGCCTGTAATCCCAGCACTTTGGGAGGCCGAGGCGGGCGGATCACGAGGTCAGGAGATCGAGACCATCCTGGCTAACACCGTGAAACCCGTCTCTACTAAAAATACAAAAGATTAGCCGGGCGCGGTGGCGGGCATCTGTAGTCCCAGCTACTCTGGAGGCTGAGGCAGGAGAATGGCGTGAACCTGGGAGGCGGAGCTTGCAGTAAGCCGAGATCGCACCACTGCACTCCAGCCTGGGCAACAGAGCCAGACTCTGTCTCAAAAATAAAATAAAATAAAATAAAATACATAGATCCTGAAACTCTTAAGGAATAAATGTTTCAGTAGAATAACCATTAGCAAGGAAACCAAAGCTTGATGTGGCAAACACCAGTTCTTCCACCACCCCCAAAACAAGACTTAAGTACCTTTGAAGGGATGACACAAGACAGAGCTCAGAAGTAGGGCCTTGACCCTGAAGGCAAGGGACTGTGTTGGAGCAAACACAATTGGAATCCTGGCATGACATCTGCTCCTACAAGACCTGTAGAGACTGGGGCACAAGAGGCCCCTCCCTGCTCCGAAAGCCCTGGCTGCTCCCTTTGTCCTGCTGGGAGCAGGCATGTAGATCCAAACCAGAGCCCAGAGAACGCCTGTGTAGCTGCTCACTGAATGATCCCATTCCCAGTCACAGATGGAGACTCATTGTCCAGCCGCTGACTTGTTTTACAGAGATTTGGCAAAGCAGGTGTTTTTAGGCAATTGGGCTCCTTCGAAGGACTTGTGGGGCCTGACCTTCCTCTGTGTGCGAGTGTGGTTTTCTCATTACAGAAATGTCTCCACCTGTGAGGTGTCCTCCTCTCAGGCCATCAGCTCCCCACAGCGATCCAAGCGTGTCAAGGAGAACACACCTCCCCGCTGCGCCATGGTGCACAGTAGCCCAGCCTGCAGCACCTCGGTCACCTGTGGGTGGGGCGACGTGGCCTCCAGCACCACCCGGGAGCGGCAGCGGCAGACAATTGTCATTCCCGACACCCCCAGCCCCACGGTCAGCGTCATCACCATCAGCAGTGACACGGACGAGGAGGAGGAACAGAAACACGCCCCCACCAGGTGAGGCGGTGCCACCTTAGCCTTCCAGGAAGGAGCTGGGAGGGTTTGCATTGTGTGTGGATCTGACCATCTTCCATCATCAAACAGAAGGATCCTCTCTTCTGACCCCTAAAGTTTGGTTTTGCCATCTACTGTGGTCCTAAAGTTATTTCAAGAGAATGTCAAACAGGTTTTCCATAATTGTTTAAAACCAAAATAATGTTGAATCACTTTGGTCTTAAAAAGTAATTATAGGCCCTATACATTTGGGGAACTTGAGACCATAAAAATCGGGCACACAATGCCAGTGTATTTCATCCTCTGTAAGTTTAAAAGTCTCTGCCTCAAGCTAGTGAATTTATTCCCAGTTGGTCAGGATATTTCTCTGACATTGCCTTGGCTCACTCAGAATATGAAGTAATTGTCCAATTAATCAGAAATTTCCCTGTGTCTGATTAACCTAATCTTTCAAAATTGCCAGTTGGCTCTTCACCCAGAGAGCATTACTGTTTATCCCAAAGTAATAATAATTCATTTTGGTCTTTGTGTGCTTCCTGGGGAGAGGGAAGAAATCTTTATTATATTTACAAAACTATTAACCCTGGCGCCAGAGCCTCTTTTTCTGTACTGCCCAGCCAGACTTCAGTAAAATGTGGTTTTTGTTTGGGCCACTCAGCTCAGGTTCTGAGCAACCCTTCTAGAACAGTTGTCTTCCTGGCCTTCTGCACCCCCAGAGTCCCTGTGGCCTTGTAAAGCCCAAAATCTCATGACCCCACCCTACTGGCTCCTTTGCATGGGGACCGAGAGCCAGGGAAGGGAGGCCTGCCCCTCCCGAGCCCAGCGCTGCCCGTCAGCACGCATCCCGCAGCGGGATGTGAACTCTAATTCACAATTAGGCTCGAATTATTAATTCCTGATTGGATACAATGTAACTAATTAGTAATCACAAATCCTTTGATTAGATAATAAATTCTCACATTTGAAATCATTACAAAATGTATAGAGAGACTGATGAAAGCATTCTCATTATAACTATTCCTGCATGGGACATTCCCTTCTCTCTTTATAATGAAGTCCAGTGGTTTTAGTTTGTTGCCGGGTGGGGTTAGTACATGTCTCTTTCAAGTGTCCTCTTCCCACCAATTAGGTACAGCCTAATTGTCATTGTCTTTCAGAGAAGAATGTAGTGGAGCACTTGTGGCCGTGGCATTGTGCCAGGTGCCAGAGGGGACCCAGGTCAAAGGCCCAGGCACAGCACTGAATACGTTGGCAGCCCAGGACTGCCTTGCTCCCCATCTGCCTAGTCCAGAACTGGCCTCAGATCCCTTTTTAATGACAGCCTCAAGTTGAGTCAATGGGCCATTCTCTACAGTGCCCCACCCCACCACCCAGGAATACTGTCGGTTCAGTCCTCACGTGGGCTCAGTGGTCTCTTCACAAAGGGGATGGCCCTGCCCAGCCCCAAACCAAAGCCTGGCCTGGAGCAGCCACCCACACGTGGGTAGCCTTGGTCATCAGAAGGGCCTAGCAGCCTTGCCCAGCCCTTTGCCACAAATGGAGGAAAGCAAAAGCAATTTAAAATCTGACAATCAGCTAGATTGGAATCTCATTCCTAACGTATGAGATCTGAGTTGACAGACTCTCAACATCTGTGCCCAGGAGAGAATTGAATAGCGTGTCTGAGGAGGAGGATGAGAGAGCCGTCTCTCCACCAATCAGACAGCTGACAGGGCTGAGAGCGGAATGCAAAGCCCGAGCATGTCCCTGCCTCCGTGGCAGCCCCTAAGGTCCCCAGAAGGAAATGATAGAACCAAGAGGCTGGGCAGCAGATGAGGACCTTCATGAGAACAACTCAAAGAAACCTAGGAGTGGGAGCCAGGTGCACAGGTGAGGGACAGCCACAGACAGTAGCAGTGGCCACTGAGTCCCACAGCATCCTGCAGTGAAGAGTGGCGGGGACTGCCAGCCTGCCAGGGTCATGAAAATGTGCTGGACACATCAGGCTGAATAGGGAAGCTGCAGACTGAGGCTAGGGAGTCATCCAAAAGGCCTCGGCTGTCCGCAGTTGTGACTGGGAGCTCCCAAAATAATGTTTTCTAGAGAGATCCAATGGCTATTGCCTTAGAAAATGTCTTCACACTCAAGAAGGCAGGAAAGTGTATTTGAGTCTGAGTAGGATAAAACAGAAACCAGTAGCTGTTTTATTTATAGAGAAACCACTGTGTAATTGTGATCACATTATTGTGACTACATTTTGGAATGAGAAAAAAAAATGTGGGGAAATATGATTACTTGTTCTTAGAAGTCAGAATTATCATAAAATTTAACACAGTCAGTATTTATTGGCCCCACTAGTGTAAGATATTATACTGGGAACTGCAGGTGTTACATAAATAAGGTAGACAGTCTGTGTCCTCATGAGGTTTGCAGGGTAATAAGCAAGACGAAACACATACAAATCATTATAACACAAAACAGAGTATCAGTCCCATAAAAATGAGCAAAGTACCATGGGGGACTCAAAGGGAAAAAGCTTAAAGGAATAGCAGGGGAGGGGGTTTTGAAGGCTAAAGGTCTTGCAGGTCCACACTGTAGAGGAGGTGGGGTTGCAAATTCAAGTGAGGGGATTGATGGGGCAGAGCCTCTGAGGCAGGCGAACAGGATCAAGAGCCCTGTGCAGGAGCTTATCCAAAAGGGATTTCAGGATGGAAAGGGGGTTGGAGAGGGATCTCCCCTTAGATGGGGGTGGTCAGCTTTGTCAGGAGATACTGAGGGGCTCAAGGGGAAGCATCAGTCCTGGGAAAACAAGGATGCACCCCCAAGTGCAGCCACATGGAGGGGTCACCTGGTCCCTCTCCAGCTGAAGAGCTTCCCCAGCCCTTCTGTGTCCCAGCTGGAGCAACGGAGACCTTCCCTCCTACACGTTGATCATCCTCGTTCCTGAGCCTGATTTCTCCTGTGCCATGGGCATGTTGATTCCCACCTTCTGTGTTCCCAGCCTCATTTTCTATTTGCTACTTACCCCAGTGCCAGTCCTGTAACTTTGCCTGAAATGCTGGTTAATTCCCCTAACATGGCTCAGCCTCAGCTTGGCAGCCAGAGTCAGGCAGCCGATGACCTTCAGAGGGATGGCAGTGCCTCCACCACCAAAGGGGCTTTTAGACCTGATTGAGTGTGTCACTGAACTTCTAGGACTAGACGATACAGCCTAGAATTTTTAAAAGAAAGCCAAGGCAAAAATCATTATTCCTGACCCCACGTATGTGGCACTGTTAGTTGCACAGCAGATGGCTGGCCAGCAGCTCCACTCGTGAGAACTCCAGGGCATGTTGCAGGCAGATGCTGGGAGACGCTGAGCTAAAGACGGGAGAATCATAGCAAACATCCACCGGATGTTGCACCCGCACTAGCTCCTCCGTCATTTGATGGGGCACGAGAGGCTGGTATTCCTATTCTCATTTGATAGATGAAGACACTGAGGCTCAGGAAAGGTAGGAGACTCACCCAAATTGATAAAGGTTCTAAATGGCAGAGTTGGGACTGAGGTGCCATACTCTTGAAGAAATGGCAAACTTAATAACCGGCAAAAAATAACTGATTTCAGTCATTCATTCAACAAATACAAATTCCATCCTGCTCCCTCCCGTGACTGCCACCATGCCGTGGTGGCACCCACTGTGTGCAGGGCACCATGCCAGGGCCACAGGGAGTCTAGAGTGTTGTCCACTGAGCCCCCTCTTGGTGCTGGGTGTTTGTCAGGGTGCTGGAGCCATGGCACTGAGAAGGGCAGAGTCAGCTCTTTTAAAAGTAGGAAAGTCAGGAAAGAGCCAGGGGCTCCTTTTCAGTGAGTTACTGTGGACTAGGGGACTCTGGTCTTGGCTAGAGAATTGGCCAAAAGATGAGACAAACAGATACTGTTCTGGGTCCCCCAGGATTAAGTGGTAGAACTGGTCTTCTTTTAAATATTTATAGACAATTTTGATTAGAAAAGCATTTAATTGTCTACACATACTGAACAAGCCGTCTTTTCTCTCCTGGACTCTCTTGGACGGTTTATAGGTACACGTCTCCTGATCTAGAACCCCCTGCTAACCTTACCTTGTGCTGAAATGGTCTTGTAAAGGCTGTAGCATACAACCTTTAGTCATTAGGGTAATTTTTTTTTTTTTTTTTTTTGGTAAGAACTAGAGACAGTGTCTCACTATGTTGCCCAGTCTGGTCTTGAACTCCTGGGCTCAAGCAATTCTCCTGCCTTGGCCTCCCAAAGTACTGGGATTATAGGTGTGAACCACCATGCCTGGCCGAGAGTAATTTTTTAAGTGTGTAAACCAGAGTGGCTTGTGTCAACTGATCAGTTAGAAGTGATTTTGTCCAGCTCCATGAGTCACTCATGGATTCACTCATTGAGTTACCTGGATGTTTCTGGTAGGTGCGTTGTTTTGCTTCGGTCATCAAGGCCCTCCTGCAGGCTGCACTTCACTGCGCCTGTGTAAGCAGCCACCGTTTCAACCACCGTTACCAAAAATGAAAACTTTAAGAAAAATGATTCATAAATATCACTCAGTATTTTAGATATAGAAACAGTTACTTAGGTCACTCTTAACGTGTCTATATATAAAAAAAAAAATTTGACCCGAAATGTTTTCCTCCTTTATACTAAGTTGAAAGTCTAGAGAAATTATTGTAGATAAAGCAAGGTTAGAAAACTGATAAGCTGCTGCTCAAATTACTTTGGCCTGAAAAATTAACATCCACTTAACAGAGGGAGCAAAACCCACACACACTCATTTATTACTGCATGGGCAAAAAACCCAAAGTGGGATTAGCCTCCGTTGCTACCTGTAACCATGTAGCTTGCTCCATCCTGCCATTGGTTGAGAAGCTACTTACAGCCAATCTCCTGCCGTGCTCATGGGGACGTGGGAATCAGGCTTGAGTGAAGGAACAAAGGAACCCAAACACACAGTGCCATTTGAAGGAACTTTGGTGTCTCTCCATTTTGAGTACAATACATCCCCAGT